ATAAATACGTTGAGTCGTTAAACCGCTCTTTGGTGTGATTTGTAACACATTATTAATCATCTTTCAGTTGCGTCTCTGTCTTTGGGCAGAGTGCACTCAGGGGCGACTCCGTCAAAGGACAGGGTGGCAACTGAGGAAAATTATACTGAAGAGGTGCCCAGCCCTGGGGAACAGCTGCCCGAGGCCGCGCCCTCTCATTGCACCAGAGAGGGAGGGATCGGTGCTCGCACCGATGCCAGCGCAATCGACGGTTGCGGGCAATTTTTGTTCCTAGCCCGGGTGTACGCGCTCGAGCCCCCACCATAAAAAATGACCTTGTGTCACAACTCGTCTTAGTGGGGAGACAGAGTAAATACCTAGTTAACGTGAAACTGATGGAAAGAAAGAAAGAAAGAAAGAAAGAAAGAAAGAAAGAAAGAATTTCCGTATTTAATGGCACATGAATGAGTAGCGACTGTTTACATATTTTATATTAAACGATTATAGAATTAGTCCATGCACAAGTAGTTGTCGTCTGCAGTCTCTCATTAAACATGAAACTACAAGGATGCCTATACTTCGCAACCCGGGAGATATTTTAAGGGTTCATTGTTATTAAAATTGATGGTTGAGGTTTATGCCCTCAAATATAATAATAATAACCCTTCACTATATGAAATGTAAAATGCTGTTCCATAACTATGTGAGATATAAAGGATTATACCCATGAGCGTCGCTCACATTCCCACCAAAAAAAACTCTCAATATGATATACTCAATAGCTTTCTAAGTGAAACCTTCTTTACCTCAGATCTCACATAAAAAGACTTGGTAAAGGATTTTATCAAACAGAAAAGCAAGAAAGCTAGAAACAATAATAATAGTAATAATGATTGCCAAAACATGATTATCAAAGACAGAAAAGATTTGAAAGTCAAATGGATAATTTATTGTTTAAACATTCTGTATTTCATACGAGTTGAACAGATTAGATAAATGTGAAGTGTATGTTTTTAAGGGCTTCGTTCGAATTTTTTCCTGGTGTTAATTTATTTTTCCATGTGGTGTATACTTATGATGTCACATCGTAAATAATCTTTAGTTTTAATGCGGTAGAAAAGATGATCATATATAAATGCAACCTCGTAAATGTATGTGAAATTGATGCATATTTTTTTAGAACGTTTGTATAAAGATCTCGTTCAAAATATGTCTTATCAGCAATTTCATAAATTTCTCTAATGCAAAAATCTTCAAGTTTGGAAATTATTTTTTTTTAAATACATCAAACTGTTTCTTTTTTCTTTTTTGCATAATATATCCAAAAAACATTTTACATAAATAAATGCACTTCAAATTAAGTGATTGCTTGTTTGCTTGCTTGAATTTTTTTACGGTTTATCAACAATTTGTGGAATATTTAAAAACGAAATATATTTTGGTTTGGAAGAATATTTCTTTTTGAGAGTGAATATTACATGAACATTTTTTTAAATAACAATGATTTCTTCAGATACAAGTCCTACTGTTTGACACATAGCTGGGGGGGAAGAAGAGATTCATGCCTTTCCAAATGTTATTTGCGGGTAAGTGAATGTAATGAACCCGTACTGGAATACGAACTTGGCTCTTCGTTTTTTCACTTAGTCTATCTATTACGCCACCCGCACATCCATTCAAATTAAAAGTAGCTTTAGAATATAGAAGAAACTGTTTTTTTTTAAATTAAATTAAACACAGAGGGTTATATTTTTTATAATATATTCAAAGACAGTGAGCAAACAGTAAATCTATCTGTCTTTATATGCATCTTCTCACTCGAATATGGCACAAGGCCATGTTTTGATATACACATACATGTAATCCATGATAAAAAATTGCTCACCTTTCTTCGACATTTTTTCTTTAATGACACCTTGGGCATTAGACTTTCTCCCTTTAAGCGTAACAGGGGAGATACTGCCTGGGGTTGGGGGTACCCTCTACATATTATTGCTCCAGTAACGAATAACTGGGGTTCTGGCAGGGTGAATTAAACAGTAAGATATGACATGACCAATTGGTATACTGCAGGTGTTATAGATTGCTTAGCTTCAGCAGGCACAAGGCGTGAAGCGACTAGCGTTAGAAGGATACATTGTGCCAATTTTCAAAAATAAAGCTGGCCTGCCAGCTTACTTGTCTTGAAAATCAGCATTCGTAATCTTAGATTTTACCTGGATTCGAATGCCAACGACTGGCAATGGTACGACCTAAGTGACCATATATAAAGGGAAACTTACGCCTACTTAAAAAGATTCACCTAGTGATACCCTACAGATTTCATATCTGTGATATAACTTTAAATTCAGTCATTTTATGCCAATGAATATGTGTGCGTGCAAAAAACAACAAAAAAAAAACAACAAAAAACAATTAAATGTAACTGATGATACTGTCAGTGTGCGTATAGATGTGTGAGATATTTAGCGTGTGTGTTTCCGGAGAGCCATGCGATTGTTGTATATTGATGACTTTAAAACGTTTTATATGAATATAAATTAAATACAAATACCGTCCATTTTGCCATCATAAGACCAAGGGAAAGTTTTTACGAGCAAGAATATGTAAGAGAGAGGAAAAAAGAAAAAATGTGTACAACCACACATTCATAGATACACACACATACGTCAAATACACAAACACACACACAAACCAACACACAAACACACACACACACATATATATATGCGTGTGCGCACGTATGCAAATCTATATACATGTGTTTATAACGGTGTACAAGTTCAGACATGTATATACACACATATTGATGTATATATGTGTAACGATAATATCACAAACCACTTCGAGTTCGACATTAACTAGTGCTCCTCGATTTTGCCTTGTGCCATACTAAGCTATATTTAGGCATTTAAATATATACGAATGTGTGTGTGTGCGTGCGTGCGTGCGTGCCCATAAAAACATTTCTTAAATAAGTGAAGGATACTATATTGTTACTGTGTGTATTTGCGATAGATTTATCAGAAATATTTAACTGGTTAAATGCTAGTCAGGGTGTTTGCATAGGTATTTCCATGAGGTACACGTATTTGTGTATGTTTGGGCATGCGGGAGTGAAAGCGGCTGTGTGTGTGTGTGTGTGTGTGTGTGTGTGTGTGTCAATGCGTCCATGCGTGTAAGAATGTGTGATTGAGCGGCTTTGCGTGCGTACGTACGTGTGCGTGTGTTCCATCTTGTTATATACATCCCACATACTTTATGAGTTTGCTTGTCCATTGAGATTGTATCTTTCTTTAAGAAGTACGAACCAAGAAACATTCTCTTCCATACTAGATGCACAAATTGTACACACATACACACACACACACATACATATATATATATATATATATATATGTATATATATATATATATATATATATATATATGAGACGAAGCCGTGGCAATCTCAAAGTTTTTAAAAACAAAAGAATTCATGTCTGCTCAACTTGTAACTGATTGCACTTTTTTTTCCCCCTTCCTTTTTTATCACTTTTTCCCCTCGCTATCTTTTCATTCACTTTTTTTTTTTTTTTTTTTTTTTTTTTTTCACGGGAGTGACTTCCATTTTGTTTAGCTTCAGTCACCCGAATAGTAGTAATTATCAACTTCTTATATCCAGATGTCAGGGTCAAGAGACAACAAGTTCCAAACTTCAACGTTCGTTGCTTTTGATGGCAAGGTACTTATCACCGCATTGCCAGTGACAGTCAAAGGGTTGAACCCCGTTTTGACTATATTATTTTTTTTAGGATTCCAGTCAGTACTTATGGATTTATTTATCTTCATTTTTTTTTTTTAAATATTAATACAAGTTTTTTAATGTATCTTCCAGTGTAATAAAGACAGTTTCCAGTTCAATATAATACCTTAAAATGCTTGTTATAAATGGAGAATATTTTTTTCACGGATTCCTTTCCATTCATTCAGTTTTGTTTTTCTTTAAATGCACTTTTAGAAAGTAAGGTGCGCAATATACATTGAGATATATGTATATTGTAAAACAGTTTGGTATTGTTCCCTCAAGTCGATATCTGTGTTTTGGCTTTGTCGCTTGGCAATAAAATGTTGAAAAAAATGTTCTTTCTCAGAAGTTTCTATCGAATTGCGATGACCATAATTATTCTTCACGCTTATAACGTCGTTTGCCCCAATTTATTCGTGAGCCATTCTATTTTGTTTCTTTCTTTTTACTTTTTTTGCCTGCTTCTTTCTTTTTTCACATTTTTGTTCGATATTAAAAATAACGATTTATAATTATTTTTCAAATAAAAAAAAAAGACATAACAATATTTGCGTTTTTTTTTTAAAAATAAGATTTAGCATTTAGTTCATTCTGCTTGCAGTATATATTTTGCAATATTCATGTTACGAATTGTTACTGCTGTCAAATGTCAATACCAGCAGGTTTTCAAATAGTAACCAGATCTATTATTTTGATAATGATTGTTTTCTCAATAATTGATGAATTCGCAGAATTATTTACATTTTTGTAAGTATTTTTTTTTTGTCTTCATTTGTAATGTCACCTCTTTTTAAAAGACAACATGTCTCTTTGAAGAAAACATTAGTTATTTATTTAAATTCTATTTTACTTCCATCTCTGCTTTTTCCTTCTCGGCACACAAAAGTCCCATAATTCGATGCTTCATGCTTGTTTTGAAATAATTATTATAAACAAAACGATCTTTGTTTCCTCAGTCAGCATGAAAATGTAAACTTATTTGAAAATGTTTATTCGCACCATCATATAGTTGATCATTATTTAACTTCTTTTTTTTTTTTTCATTTCTTTTTTTTTCTTTTATATATATATTTATACTTATTTATTTATAAATTTAAGTCTTTAAAAATGTCATAATGTGTTCGTATGATTGCGTGAGAAATTTCTTTTCTTTTTTTTTTCTTGTGGCCACAATTAAAAAGGATCATTTTTTTTTGTGTGTGTGTATTTATGTAACCTGTCAATATCTGTTGGCTCATTCCGTTAGGGAACTTGGCGAACTTGAAATTGACCCGTCTCTTTTTCGTTGCAGTCTTTCCAAGCACTCCTTGTAATAATCCCTCTCACGTGTTACCTGGCTAATTTGACGTTGGATGACGGACAACTGTTGTTGAAGAGATTTGTTCGTCCGTTCTAGTTCGTTTCTCTGTTGCATTCTTTTCGAACGACAATTCTGCGCGTAACCTCTGTTCTTCAGTGTCCGCCGTTTCTGTTTCAACCGGCTAACCTCGTCTTTCGGGAAACCATGGAGTCGCTTGTTCAAATCTCGCACCGGCAAAGAAACTAATTCATCATCATTCAGTTCGCACTTGCTCAAATCTGGCGACGATCTCGTCTTAAAATTACGCTTAATGCACATCGACGAAGAAGATGCCGAAGCCGAAGATGACATTGATGAAGTGCTGTTTTTTCTGGATTGAGTTCGCGTAGAGCCCGTGTTGGGTAACGGTGAGCTGTTATTATTCAAAAATAGATCCAGAACCCCGTTCTGTGGTATGTCGTGTACATTATGAGTATTGGTAAACCAGTAGATTTCCTCCATAAAATTCTTGACCGGGGCCTGAAGGCCGTGCCCAACGTCTGGCGATGACGAAGACATGCTGGACGTCTCGCCATCTTCAGGACTGGTCGGTGCTGACTGCGAATACTCAGACATGTTGCCACAACAGGTGTTTGAGAAGCGATCTTTGTCTGCTTCCATTTTTATAGATGACACCATTTCAAGTTGTTCTAAGTCAAAGTCTGTGATGTATTCATCCGCGAGGTGGTGCGTCGAATCCATCGCGCCAGATAAAATTAGTTCCAACTGTTTGCGTGCGATGAAGATATTATATGCGTGTTTGTGTATTATTTGTAATTTTTTGATAATATACAAATATGTGTGTGTATGTTAGCATGAATTTCTTTACATGAAATAAAACAGTATATTTATTATCCGCCTGTTAAACGTAATTATTACTCACAAATAAAAAAAAATACATTTACGAAAGTCAGGTGGCTGTTAATTTATCAAATATTGTTTACCGGTTAATATTTTAAAAACATATATATGTATGTGTATTTGTATCAAATCCATAAACAAAAGAAAGGAATTATTTTACCTGCTGGGATATAGAGCTTATACATCTATTCATACATGCACACATACACACAGACATACATACACACACACAAAATTATCCTTTTGGTCAACTGTGGCGTCAGTTTAAAACGTTCATCCGGGTAATTCCAAGTTTTGCTGGCTGACTTTTGATAAAAATGATTCCATAGAGATGCGTTGAGATGGAATTAAATGTTACAGGTGAAAACAGTTTGACTTAAAAAAAAAATTAAATGAAACAAAATAAAAAAAAAATTGAGAAAAAGTGTATGCAAATATGTGTCTGTATAAAATCGTAAAATGTCTTTCAATAACTGAAATGTAAACTCGGTACTTTAAATGGTTTGAATTTTTTTTTTTTTTAAATTTGGAAAATTAAACAACCAAAAAGAATATAATTATAACTATATAAATGTGTCTCCACTGGTATTTCCAAATATGTGTAAAAATGCGTCCTTGCAGTAATGATGTAAGACTCTCGTCTTTGATGCTATACTACACTCGGCTGGCTTGTCAGTGGTGCGTGTGTGCTTCCTATCGGTTGTACTAGATAGTGTAAAAGGAAAAACTCCTTGCTCAGTAAGAAAGAGCGACAAAAATAGAAGAAAATGGACGAATAAAAATCAGTTTTTTTTTTCTTTCTCTACCGTCTTTTCTTTCTTCTTTTTTTTCTTTTTCTTTTTTTTTTTTACGTTGTTCGTCCTACTTTTTTAAATTTTCTTCTCTCTATTTTCATTCCTCCAGTTGCAAATTTTTTCCCTCACTACTGCTCGGCTTTCTTCCTTCTTCCGTAAGCAACGTTCTCGTATTTATAGTAAACAGTGGGGGCGAAATACGCACACTTCTACTATTTTTTAATAGTAGTAGCTATAATTTTGCTCCGATTTTAACCAATGTCTACGTCTCGTTTCCGAGCTGCGTTGCTGCTATGTCTGGAGGATGTCTCAAAGAACGAGTACAAAATACGCTCTTGGATTCCTACAATAAAATCATGTTAAACGATGTCACAGTCACAATTATTATTACGACTAAGATAATAATATATCGTTAAGCGGGTTTCTCTTTTATAAGCTTCGTTTGAAGGGTCACTCAGACTGGTACAAGGTCACTTTAGAGGAGCGCTGAGATGTATGTAGTTTTTTTTGTTTTGTTTTGTCTTTTATTGATTTCGTAAACAAGCCACGACAGGTTTTTTTTTGTTTTTTGTTTTTTTGTCTGTTTCTTATATTTTTGCTTGTCTTAAGAAATCTCAGAATTTAATCAATGAATTTTAATAAAAAAAAAATATCTGTTTGCAAAATTAGTATAACCTTTTTGTCGTTCGTTAAATTATGTCTTTGTGGTCCATATTTTTGTTATTCTATTTCTGTGGCTGTTTTGTATTACGAACCTGCAAATGTAATTTTGATGTTTGTGTGTGTTTGTTTTTTAACTTTTTTTTTTACAAGTTTTTCCTCCAAGATTTGTAAACGTTTTTTTTTTTTTTTTTTTTTAGTGTGTCTATTAATATGTGTTTGTGAATATGAGTGTGTCAGTGACTATACATATGCGATTTTGTTTAGTGAGTAGGTGTAAATTTCGCGTAGTGAAGTGTCACCAGCTGGGGACACCTCAGCAGCAATGCATCCTGGTTATAAGAGAAGTGCACAATTTCTTGAAAGTAAAAGTGGAAATTTCGTCTCTCACTTTATTCAGTTGAGCTGATTTGAAGCAAGAGACATTTTTCTAGATTTGGATTTCTGTGCTAGAATGAAACTTCTTTTGTCTCTTGCACGAAAAAAATAATTATTTTTACCGGCAAAGATGTTGCACTCAATATGAGAGAGAGAAAGAAAGAGAGTATAAAAGAAGTTTCCAGGATTTTTCAATGAATTGGGAAATTCTTATCGAATTTTCAGTATGTTTACATTCCCTTTTTTATTTTTTATTTTATTTTTTTAATATTTACTTTCTTCTTTTAATTTTTGTGTCACTTTCCAAAAGGATTTTTTTCTTAATGTTCAGTTACTTTTTAATATGATTTTATATTGATTATAGTGAAAAACATTTTTTTTCCCCAACTTGTTGTTGTCGGCTGCAAACACAAACTTCCAATAAATACCGTGTACATTCCAGTTAAAAGAAAATCGTTGGTTAATAATATTTTCAAGATTTTTTTTTGTTTCAAGTTCTACAACCAATGATTGTTACTTAAAGTATTCTTTTGCTTCTTTTCTTTTTGCAGTTTTCAGGATTATTTTTTTTCAATTTAATTCAATCGACAAAGTCTCAGTTCAAAAAAGAAAAAAAAAGATGAAAACCGACCCATTAGTTTTAATAAATGTGTAGGTAGAAAATATATTTGATTTTTAATATTTTTTTTTTCTTTCAAACTGTCTTTTCTTTTCTTTTCTTTTTTTTTTTTTTTTTTGTCAACAGAGCTGTGATAAATTAAGCAGAAGAAATAAAAAGGAACACCACAAGATTTAAATAATCCTTCTCTTCGTTCGCAATAAAGAACAATTCCTCATTTCGTCTGCTCCTCGAAAGAAACGGAACTTGGCAACCTCCACTGGTCCACGCTGCTATTTGATTTTTAAAATCGTTGCACTGCCTTTTGCTAACTGATGTGCGTTTATAATATTCAAATAAATATTAGAGATTATTATGCAAATGTATGCACATATGAAAATGAGTGAGTCTACTAATTTGACTTCACCATATAGTGGCGTCGTGTTGTGTCGTAGGTGGTCCAGAGGACTAAGAATTCAGGCAACCACCTCATCAGTAATGAACAGGTTGAATGACGGTCGGACTTATTAGTGAAGCAACTTTAGTTACCGGGGGAGGGACTTCACTGATACACGTCATCTCTCACCATGGCAACCGGGCAGCCAATCAGAGCGCGCCGCTAACGAGGTATTGCACGAGTTCTAAAACTACCATTTACAGACTGTTAGCATCGTAAAGTGCTACACGCGTACCGACAAATAAACACACACAGACACACCATAATATATATATATATATATATATATATATATATATATATATATATATATATATATATATATATATATATATATGCGTGTACAGTTTATCTATCTTCTAAAATTGCAATAAATTTTATGTTCTTAAAGTAGTGGACGTATGCATGTTTTTACACATCCCTCACCCCTTCTCTACCCTCATCCCACTGTTGTGTGTAGATATGTGGGTAACGTGGATACGTGTGTGTACTTGGGTAATCTTGCTTTATAGGCCTATATACGAATGGTATTGTGGTTGTCACTGACTCTCATACATAGAGCACACACACTTCCCCCTTCATGCACAAAAATATATATTAGTGCATCTCTAACGCTGCATGCATTTATTTGTGTGAAATACTGCACATGCAATGTATGTTTGAACAGGAATTGATACATTCCTTTATATACTAAAATATTGATACATATGCACATCTACCAATGAAGTCTTGTGCGTGCACATGTCATGTCTAACCATATGTATATATGCACAGATATATATATATATATATATATATATATATATATATAGAGAGAGAGAGAGAGAGAGAGAGAGAGAGAGATAGATAGATAACAAAATTGGGATAGACTAGGAAGGGATGAAAAGGTATCGAACCAACACACTTCCCAAAATCAGACCAATTGACTAAACATCAGAGTTTTACCTTTCTAAAACACTTGTTGATCGAACCAGGAATTTTTCACTAACCACTGATATATAAATAAATTAAGATAAAGGAAATTTACAAAAGTAAGTACGTCGCCTGACAGGTACTTGTAGCAGAGTTTTGATCTGAAATTTTCACTGCATAATGTTCGATCGGCATGATTAATATTCAGCATTGGTTAGGAAAGAGATTATGTTAAAAGATAAACAATAAATGATTATTTTCATCATTAGGCTTCGGAATTAGAGGGGTTGTTTTATTTTTACGACTTAGCAACCTTTTGCATGTTATTTAAAGCCAGAAAATAGTTTTTGATTGTAAGAAATTTTTTGAGAAAATAATGATTTACTGTTAGAAGTCTTGCTAATTAAAGCATAGCTAGGAAAGAAGTGGTGGGTTCATATCTTTACTAAGGGTATTTGCGCATAGGTCTATATAAGGAATCGGACTGGAATTGGAACTCGGCCCTCTTAATTTCCTATTCCGAGAAGTTATTCATTACACCACCCGCACATCCATACTTACAGCACCTGGTATTCCCAAGGGATCACCCATCGAGGTACTGACCAGGCTCGACATTGCTTAATTTCGGTGATCGTACGAGAACGTGATATGGCAGTAAGATAGATAGATAGATAGATAATGAAGAGATATAGATAGATAGATAGATAGATAGATAGATAGATAGATAGATAGATAGATAGATAATGAAGAGATATAGATAGATATGAAGAGATATAGATAGATATGAAGAGATTTAGATACATAGATAGATAGTTATGAAGAGATTTAGATAGATACATAGATATGAAGAGATTTAGATACATAGATAGATAGATATGAAGAGAGATAGATATATAGTTAGATAGATAGATAGATATGAAGATAGATAGATAGATAGATATGAAGAGAGATAGATAGATATGAAGATAGATAGATAGATAGATAGATAGATAGATAGATGAAGAGATTTAGATAGATACATAGATATGAAGAGATTTAGATAGATAGATAGATAGATAGATAGATAGATAGATAGATAGATAGTTGCATAACAAATGATTAAAAATGTGATCATTATAACGGCACGTGGAATATATATTATATAGTAATTGGATTCACACACAGTTTTATTAGAAATATTACTCAATCTCGAAACAACAAAACCACTCACATATACGGATATAAATGTTTTTTGTTTTTTTTTTTATTTATAAACACTTGCAAGTATATAGAAGCCGTAGCTGTTAAGTTGTGTCATAGACACGCTTATCTACCACGTTGTTATTTACGAGCATGCCGGTGTTTCTACATCCGTTATTGCCTAGATGGTAAAAAATTGTGTGTGTGTGTGTGTGAATAGACGTATATGTACAATGTACACGCCATGCCGACATTTTCAGCAAATCATCATAAAAAAGCCCGAAATAACTATTTATGACGGTTTGCTGAAAAGTTCTCGGCCTAGTGAGTCCAAAACAAATTTTATCTTTAAAATGTTCTATTTTGGTTCAGATTTTGGAAAAGATGATTAAACCTGCGAGCAACCTGGTCCAATTTAAGCCCCCTTTATCCCCTGCCCCTCCACAGCCAAGCCCCGCCCCAAGCACACATGCTTGATAAAATCTTATATTTTAGCTTATATTGGTTTCTGTTCATTATTTTAATTAACTAGTGAAGGGTATTACTAATGGACGTAAAATGCATATATTGTAAAATATGCAACTACCACGCACGCACCCATACACACGCGTACTTCGTTACAGATAAGTATAAATTGAATAAATATATATTATCTTTATCTCTTTATGAAGTGCATTAGCATATATGTACCCAGTTTGTAAATATTTATACCAAGGTACAAATATGTGCATCATTATCATTACATTCGCCCTGAACCGGCGCGTCTTACCCGCAAAATCCCGACCGGGGGGCGGGGGGCGTTTTTTGAGGCCCCATTTTTTTCCAGCAGTGTTTTGTGGCCACCCGTCATTTTTTAAAAATTATTTTTAAACTGACGTTACAATGTCAGTCATCAATAATATACATTGTGTATAACCGAAACGGTTTATACTACGCAGGAATCCCCGAAGAGGCTAAAGCCCCAAAAGAGCTAGTTTTTCAGCATTTTGCTTTTTGTCCTCTTTACTTTATTTCTATCTAACTTATATTGTCAATCAATCATCAACTATAATAATCTACAGGGCCTGTGCTTTTTAGCCCAAATTCTCAACCACGTGAAGTCCTCATGCAAACTGAGGGGTGGGGTCAGAAGTACTAATTTCAGTAAAATTTAGTCATGAAAATATTGGTGGTTATTACAAAAAGAATAAGTTTTAATCAGATTTTTTTAAATAAAAAAAACAAACTATTCATCATAAAAGTAAATAATTAATGAATATATACTGCAATTTTCATTTAAATTGTATAATTCCGTTTTTTTTTAATTTAAAAAAAGCCCTTCACTCCAATTTTCCTTCAAGTCACTGTGACTCCCAGGTTGGGAAACTTTGAAATCAACACGTAGTAGAGAGCGGAGTTCCGTATCAAAGTTTAGGGGATGGGTGCCGAGACCTTAGCGCCGGCCCTGCACTCGCCTAGCGTTCGCCCACCTGTTAGCATGTATAATTACAGGTATAATAATTTTCATACAGTTCCAAACTCCGAAACTAATTTCTGTGACGGCCACTAAACGACCCTAGTCAACTAACTACTTATCCCAATGGTACTTTCAGGAGAGTTGGCATAAGTTAAGTTTCTACGCTTCCCTGTAGTAAAAGAAAGAAACCGGTTTCCTAAATGTTTCAAGTAGAAAATACTTCACAAAAACGATGTCCTTATGCAGTGCGAACAGTCTTGTCCATGTATAAAAGAAAAAGAAAATAAAGGAAAAAAAATAACTAGTTTAGCTGAATGGATCGTAAAGGCAGAGGACATCTTCCCGAAGATTTGACACCTGCCATTAAATCTCACTCTTAATTGTATTTTAAAGTTTCGTTTCATTTTCATAAATTGGAATCATCGAAAAGATGAAAAATTTGAGGAAAATGTTTGTATTAAATTTATTTTTGTCCAGTGTGTTAAATAGAGTTATTTGTTTCTTTGCTTGTTTTTAATTGATAAACGACTGTCAAATATTGCAAAAGCCTTTTAAAAAGTCTATTGACATTCAAGTAATTAATAAAGTTTCAGTGAAATTTTCAGTATTTATTTATATATGAAAATGTTACTTTATCAAAAAAAAAAAAAAGAATTACTAGGAAAGTCTCTCTCTTTTTTTTATCTATTTCCCTTTATTCCTGTTAATTAAATAAACCCTTAATTAATTTTATGCAATCTAATGAAAAGAACAATTTCATAAACTTTTTAATAATTTTTAAGGTAAATCAATGCAGAGTTTGAATCAGAAATATTTTTCTTTTTTTTTTATTTAAAACCCCAACTTAAACTGCATATTGTAAATGCACTTCTTAATTATATGAATGGATGTCAGCACACACACACACACACACACACACACACACACACACATATAAATATATATATATGTGTGTGTGTGTGCGTTATTTTAATTTATTTTGTTTAAACGCCATTTTGATGGATATTCATATTCGAGTTGAAGCTGTGTATTTTTTAATGAAACAGTAGAATTTTTTTTATCCAGTTATATCTACTGGCCTGAATATTCGAGATATCTTGTCACAAAATGTGTTTCCTATGGCAAAATATTTTTAAAATACTAATATATCGGATGTGATCCATTTCCTATATATATATATAAATGTGTGTGTGTGTGTGTGTGTGTGTGTGTGTGTGTGATAAGACAAGAGTTAAAACTCTTCTAAACGTGATAAAGTCCCTCAGAGGACGAAACACGTTTTGTACCTTTTATAGATAGATTCTTCTGTATATATATATATATATATATATATATATATATATATATATATATATATATATATATATATATATATATATATATATTGGGATAGATAGATAGATAGATAGATAGATAGATAGATAGATAGATAGATAGATAGATAATTGGAGACTGACATCCACACCGTGCGGCACTAGTCTATTTTTACTTAAACGTAACCTTAGGTTCGAAATTTCATTTAGCATGAAAGAGACTGTCGTCGCCCTGTTCACCTCAGTGTCCATTTTATATTTGCATGCTATCCCTGAATTCAACACGTTTATCGATATATATATATATATATATATATATATATATATATATATATATATATATATATATATATAGAAATATGACAGAAATATCATATATACCTCCCAGAACACGTCCCACATAATGGTAAGACATTAGCTAGATGCCTACACTAATGTCTTATCATTCTGTGGGAGGTTTATATGGGAGGTATTTCTATCAACACTATATATATATATATATATATATATATATATATATATATATACGTGTGTGTGTGTGTGTGTGCATATTACTACAAACGTTATAATAGTGAAAAGTCAAGTTTGAAAAATGAATCCATTAATTCTTTAGTAATATATATATATATATATGTGTGTGTGTGTGTGTGTGTGAGTGTGTGTGTGTGTGTATGTGATATATATATATGTGTGTGTGTGTGTGTGTGTGATATATGTGTGTGTGTGTGTGTATATATATATATATATATGTGTGTGTGTGTGTGTATATATGTGTGTGTGTGTGTGTGTGTGATAAATATGTGTGTGTGTGATATATATATGTGTGTGTGTGTGTGTGAATATATGTGTGTGTGATATATATATATATGTGTGTGTGTGTGTGTGAATATATGTATGTGTGATATATATATATGTGTGTGTGTGTGTGTGAATATATGTGTGTGTGATATATATATATGTGTATGTGATTGTGTGATATATATGTGTGTGTGTGTGAATATATATGTGTGTGATATATATATGTGTGTGTGTGTGTGAATATATGTGTGTGTGAATATATGTGTGTGATATATATATGTGTGTGTGTGTGTGTGAATATATGTGTGTGAATATATGTGTGTATATATATATGTGTGTGTGTGTGATATATGTGTGTGATATATATGTGTGTGTGTGTGTGTGTGTGTGATATATATGTGTGTGTGTGTGTGTGTGAATATATGTGTGTGTGATATATATGTGTGTGTGATATATATGTGTGTGTGTGTGATTATATGTGTGTGTGATATGTATATATATGTGTGTGTGTGAATATATGTTTGTGTGATATGTGTGTGTGAATATATGTGTGTGTGATATATATATATGTGTGCGTGTGTGTGTGTGTGCATGTGTGTGTGTATGCATATTACTTTAAACTTTATTATAGTGAAAATGGCAAATTTGAAAAATGAATCCATTAATTCTTTAGTAATATATATATATATATATATATATATATATATAGCCGAGAGAGATATAAGGGGATAGACTGTGATAGAAAAACAGGACGACACATCGGCATCTAGCAAGTCTGCTAGGTACATGCATGCATAGATATCTATATAAATATATAGACAGATGCAGCCAGACATAGACAGACAAACATATACAATAGATGCAGACGAACAGACAGATACACCGGGAAACAAACAGACT